GGAGGCCCTGAGGCAAATATCCTAATGGATGCCCTTTCAAATATAAGAAATATAGAAAAAACATTATTAAAAACAAACTTTCAAATATATGAAACTGTGGGAACCCAAACTAACAAATGTTTTCAGTGGATATGCTCTACTGGACTCTTACTTCATATACCAAATTTCAGGGCAATCTATTCTGAAATACACGAGATATAAAATCTCCAATTTTGATTGAATTTCTTCCCTTCTCTTTCTTCGCACAGAAAGCGGCCCGGCATGGCCAGGTAGTTACGGCGCTCGACTCGCAATCTGAGGGTCGCGGGTTCGAATCCCCGTCACACCAAACATGCTCGCCCTTTCAGCCGTGGGGGCGTTATAATGTGACAGTCAATCCCACTATTCGTTGGTAAAAGAGTAGCCCAAGAGTTGGCGGTGGGTGGTGGTGACTAGCTGCCTTCCCTCTAGTCTTACACTGTTAAATTAGGGACGGCTAGCGCAGATAGCCCTCGTGTAGCTTTGCGCGAAATTCAAAAACAAACAAACAAACAAAACAAACGCACAGAAAGCATGGAAATGCATTTGACAGAAAAACATGCTTCACTTTTACGGATTTTTTTCAAATTTGGTACACTGATAAATCTTTAAAACCTACAATGATGTGTTTAATTTGGTCTAAATATAAGCCCCATATGCAAAGTTATTCAACAAAAACCGTTCAATTTTGACTAAACTTTTTGCGCACGCTTACGCAAAAAATCACGTGAGCTATGGTCTAAATTTTTTCAGCTTTACCTAAGAATAAAGGTGGACCGTTTTTTTTAGTCATTCGAATTAAAGACAGGTGATTTAGAGCAGTAAAGCTATAGGGTAAAAGTACGTGCAGATAAATAAGTATTGATTAGGCCAAGCAAACTAGATTAGCAGTTTCTAGCTCAAGTTTTCAAAGGAATCATATAGGTGGACGGTTATTATTCATTGCCAACTTTTAAGCACAAGTTTTATAAAATTCTCCTAATTAAAGAGCGTTTAGCGTCACGTGATATTAGCTTAAGCAATTAGCATAAATAATGCTGATTGATGTGGCTGTACCGCGTGCACGCGGGTGATGACAAGAAACTGTTAATTTAGATTCCATGGCGTTACTCTAAAGTACGTTTTTAACACTGTTTTGGAGAGGAAAAACTACCACCATATATTTTAAGGAATCTGGTTGGTTCTGTAAAGTAAAGGTCTGTTCCGAATAATAGGGTTGCGCTCCTAAAGCTAATGTTGTTTACTCTCGAGTGTCACTTTCTTACTTCCTGTGGTTTGTTGGTGTTTATTGACAAAAAAAGTCATGCTATCTAAATCAAAAATACCTTATTTTTTTGTTAAAAAGGATTGAGTATGCGACTTAAAGGAATGAAATCAAAATTGACGGCCAAACTGGTAGCTATAGCATTGATAAAAATTCTCCAGTAAATATTCATTCATTAATTAGCTAGACCGCATATTTTGTTTTGCCCACCATCATGCCCCAAGTTGAATAAAAACGTGGCCTGGCTAACTCATTAATGAATATTCGCTGTTAAATTCTTATCAACGCTATAAGTGTGGGCCTTTCTTCTTTTGTTTGCTCCAGAACTGTGTTGAACTGATTTCTTGAACCTACGTGTTTTTCTAACATTATAAACGTAAAAGCAATTACACATGTAGGCCTAATGTTCATTCAGGTTGTTATATCACATAAACAGTAGTATGTGTATAATCCTATACTAGGGACATAAGCCAATAATAGCTTGAGGTATATCTGTAATCATTCCAGAGACCTATATTATTGTTACCCATAATTAAATCCTTTTAATCTTTTGAAAAAATGTGTCAAACTTTTCATATTAATATCATCATCCTTATTATTATTATAGAAACATGATAAAAAAGTTGTATAACAACAGCAAAAATAAAGCAAACTACAGTACTATCGATGGAATTTTTTTGGAATATCGGTCTGTCCCCTTTTACACCACTTCATTAAATTTCTTGTATTGTACAAAACTAACAACCCAGTTTTAGTATGGAGCGAAAATCAACCGATTATATTTTACATACTTCTAATTCGAAATATCAAAAGAAGTAATAAGAATCATAAAGAATGTGAAACAACAAAAATCATTTGTTGCCATAAGCTACTTTCATTACTTTGCCAACTGAACAACTGCAATGATTAAAAACCCTTTAATACCAAAATCACAAATCACAGAAATAAGTTAACAATAATATTTTAAGTAAAATTACCTCACAAATTATTGCATTGTAAACTAACCAGTAATTAGTTCCAAGGCC